TAGACTCGATGAGTTGCTATATTGACAGCAATTGATATGGTCGTTTTATTGAATGAGTTGGACAAGGAAAATTTAAATTTTTTTGTTAGTTTTTCTTTTATAGTGACTAAGAAACTGTATAAAAATGTCCTTAATAGTTATTCTTCCAAGCGCTTTCGAATAATTTGTTAACTGTTTTCAAAAGGTTTGATCTTATTATATTTATTGGGGTTTACATTCTTAACTGCGTTGTATAGCAGTAGTAATAATCCTAAGCCCTGTTCTATGGGAGTGGTAGTATTAATTACATATTGAGATATCTTCGGAAAATCACTAAGGGCTGTCTTAAATTACCATCTATCTAGCTATCTATCTATCTATCTATCTATCTATCTATCTGTGTATATATATATATATATATATATATATATATATATATATATATATATATATACACCACTATATATATATATATATAGTCAACAGCAAAGTCAACAAACCCAGTCCGATGAAGTCCTAACGGATGAAATGTGTCACAAAACCTTTTTTCAATTTGTCAAAACATCGTTTTCGTTCCATTTCCCATATTATGCACATTCTCCATTCTTATACCAAATATATATATATATATATATATATATATATATATTGCTTAAATAAATACTATAGTCAAATACGCACACGTCAAAGTACACATTTAAATGGGAAATCTACCTCACATATAAATATATAAACACTTCATTCATTGTTTGGAAAGAGCTTAGATAAACGTAAATTTTCATAAAAAATGTAGACTTGACTTTATCGAGTCATAAGGTGACATATAAACCACTTAACGCACTTAAATATTTTTCTTATCGAAATCAAAGACAGCAAGGTCCATAAACAATGCTTTCAAATCCCCCTCGAAGGAAGAAAAAGAAATCATATTCTTATTCTTCAAAACGACGTATTTGAATTTATTTAGTTTTAATGGTGACAGAAAGCAAATGAAAAATTTCTTTCTTAAATTTTTAAAAGCACCCTCTCTTTACTGAAAAGTAAATTAAACGTTTAGATTTTTAATACCAGTGGATTTGTTTATGGAGATTTTATGGAAGGCGAAGTAAAATATCCCATTACCTTCTCATTTATTTTTGATGTTTTCTCCATTAACTCCTTGTTGTTATCCTTTCCTGCTGTGCTCCAACAATGATTAAGCATTTGCCAAAACTCCAGGTTGTGTACACAGCCTCGATTTAAGCTCTATTACCTAAAAACTATTTGTTTATATGTTCGAAATTATACCTCTGTCTAAGTATCGAAGCAGAGATTCAGTATTTAACCATTATCAGATGGAACAGTGACACCAAACATGATACGCCATTTTTTTCTTTTTTGTTTTTTAAATAAATGTCCTTTTTAATTTTAATTTGCTGTTTCGTTGGAAACGAAGAAAAAAGTACTAAACTGTAACGTAATATTTATTTTTCTTACTATTAATATATATTGTACAGAAACAAAATAGAAGGATCTAAGATACAAAGCGGTATAGGGAAGCAAGAACAAAGGACTGCTTATCAATTATAAAACAACAAAATATGCTGTCTTCCAGAAAAGGAACGCTACAGGAACTTCGATACAAGGAAAGGAAAGCAAGACTATCTATCAAGATATATAGTCATTTGCTAGCGGGAAAGCCTAACATGCTAGCTTCGGTTGATAGACGTCAAAATCAAGCAAGTCCAGAATTTCAAAAGTGAATTATTATAACAGACGATGGAAAATGTGTCACAGAAATATGAAGGCTCAATTGAATATCGTAAAATGTCATCGAAAAATCTAAATAAAAGTATAAAGAAACGGGAAAATTCCTTTAGAAACTGTTGTAACCAAGTTATCAAAAACAACGGTAGAAAACCGGAAGTGGTTTAACAACACGTTTATTACCTTTTGGTAGAACAGAAACTAGGGAAGATAATATTTAGCCGTGAATGACTGTTTTCAGCAAAAGCTACTGTTGCTCCTTCTTTCACGTCCGACGGCCGAATCCAAACTTGTAATGAAATATTCTCCCTCACAACAAAAACAAGGAAATGATTTTTAAACGGCTATGTAATATGTATCCTCTTACTATTTGCTCACAGATGAATATTAGAATACAAGCGACCGTATTCTGCTGCTATGATATTGAAAATACCATTGACAGAATGTGTGAACAACGAGGGAATTTTAATGAGAAAGAAAAGGACACTTATAAAGAGATAGTTGAAATTTATGAGACATATAATGAGGAAAGATGGCTTGGATAATTTAACACTCGCAGGACATATTAAAGACAAGAGGTACAGAGAAAAACAACCTGCTTAACTAGATTGTGCAAATTGATGGTAGAACAGAGAGTGGAGTGTCGTAGTAATGGGACAAACAATGCTTAAAACAACAAATTATAGGAAGTTGTGGAGATCCATAATAAGGAGATTGGTACATAAAAGAAAAGAAAACATTTACTTGTTCATAATCATATATCCCGGGTGTAAGAGCAAAAACCTCCAAAATCATATAACAGCATAATTGTACATCGCACAAAATATTTAATATCTAACAAACAACTAAACTAATTAAATTTCTTGTTTCCAGACTTTCAGATAAGATGTTTAGCCATCTTGATACCATTTGTGGTAAGAATTACTAAAAAACCGTTTGAATTGTTCAGATAGAAATAGAACAGGTTAAAATCGTTTTGTGTTAGCCCAATGTCTTCCGAAATGGTGAGAAGAAAATATCATTCAGGCCTTCGGTAATGGTACCAACATTCATACTCTGGCTTCCATCTTCAAAGTCCATTCAAGAACCATCAAAAGAATGGTGAATAAGTTTAAAAAAAGAGGGAACAGTAGAGAGGAAAACCGGATCAGGAGATCACAACAGGAAGTGAGATCATCATATCAACTTACAGCTAAAGATAATAATTAGAAAAGTTCCGACTCAATCCATAAGATGTTAGACACGTGAGAGAGAAGTTTCAGCTATGACAGGCCAAAGAACAGTGAACAAAGACTTGAAAACGAGATTGTACGTGAACCCTATGAGGCACATTGTTACTCCAGGACTGAAAGTTAAAAGGTGAGAGAATAAGTTGGAAAATAATCGAGAAATAATCTCTTTCTCTCTTTCATATATATATGTAGGCTTAAAATTAAGTTCCAACATTATATATATATATATATATATATATATATATATATATATATATATATATATATAATGTTGGAACTTAATTTTAAGCCTACATGAACTTCCGAATCTTAGCTATGATTAATGAACATGCCATTTTCGTTTATGATCGATTTCATCACGATTCTTCTGTTAAGCTTAAAGAGTAAATATACATCCTTATTGCGCAAAGTAGGGTCCAATAGTGTTATAAAAACCTCGGAGAATTCCAGTAAGATATCTTTAAACATTTCTAAGATACAATGTTCAAATCTTAATCTAACAAATGGACAATGGTATTTCCTTAAGTAAGGAAATAATAAATAAATTAAGTAATTATATAATAGTGTTTTTCTTCATATTCTCTCACACTCGGTAATCTCCTAGAGTTTTAGTGGCTTTATTGCCTTGCTTGGTGTGAGATGATTAAAAAATGTCTTCAACAACGGAGTCGTGTATGAAAGATGTGTTCACGTATCAGCCTACCGCTGGAAGCGTCCATAATTGCAGTATTTTTACACACCTCATATAGAGTGAAATGCGGTATATACAAAAGATGGTCGATAATACCGTAGCGTTAGTTATTATCTAAATTTTATATGAAATCTTGGTATAATGTTTGTTTGATTGAGGGATTTGTGTTTTTTTATACGGTTAATTTGCAGGTTATTTAACACCAGAGTATATTTTTGGATTGTAAGAATTTTGTTGGCGATAATAATTATTTTCCGATACAAGTCCTAACTCATTTAACTCATAGCTACAGAAAAAGTTGATTCATAACTTCATTAACGGTATCTGCGCGTAATTGAACATAACGAACCCGACTAGAATTAGAACTCGGCTATCTGATTTCTCATTTCGAGCCGTTATCCATTGCACCACCTGCACATCAAAACTTACAGGAATTGGCATTCCCAAGCGATCACCCATCTAGCTCGACGTTACTTAAATTTGGTGATCGATTGAATGCCATATTTTAGCGCGATATGGCTGTAAGCCCGGTAATGTTCGATCTATGTAACCTATGGAAAAAAATTAAATATATTGGCAAGAAAGGCGATTACATTAAATATTTTTGTTGTGTATAGAAGTACATTATTTTATCATTACGTTACGAATTTATTGAAAGTATTATTATATTGGAAATCTGATGCAGATGGTGCAAGCTTGTGTGCGATTCTCCAAAAACAACTCTTAAGAAACTGAAATTTCCTTCTTGCATGTTACTTTTTCCCCAATTAAATTCTGAAAGCCAAGGTAGACAATACGCTGACGGATAGAAAAATGATCAGCTAATTCTAGACGCAGTTTCCCGCCATTTAAACTCGGCTTTGCCTTGATTGGTTGACACATAGCGGTGAAATACGTAATTACTTTCCGAAAAACACAAATATATTATTTCGTGTCACCGGTTCAATGTTTATCGGTTAGGCATAGGCCGGATGGAAATTCAACCACAAAAGCCTTTTTTTTTTTTGTGGACATAATTAAACAGGTTTTTTGTATTTCTTTTTTATCAATCATTTACACAGATTCGATCATCTGATGGATAATGATATAACATTATATATACATATATGCATATTTGCATATTCCATAACATGGAGAGAAAGACAGAGACAGAGAGAGATAGAGAGATAAAGGGGGGGGAGAGAAAAGGGGAGAGGGAAAAAGAAAGTGAAAGAAAGACAAAGAGAGAGGCAAGGAAATAGAAAGGGGGTGAGAGAAATATATATATATATATATATATATATATATATATATATATATATATATATATATATATCGAGATAGATAGATAGATAGATAGATTGAGCAGGGTCCTAACAAGGATAGATAGATAGAAAGTAAGAAAGTGAGAAAGAGAGAAAGAGAGAGAGAGTTAAAGGAGGAGGGAGGCAAAAGGGCAGAGAGAAAAAGAAAGAAAGAGGCAAGGAAAGAGAAAAGGGGAGAGGAGAAAAAGAAAGGGAGGTAGACAAAGGGATATATATATATATATATATATATATATATATATATATATATATATATATATAAAGAGAGAGAGAAAATAGATAGAGATAGATAGATAGATAGATAGATAGATAGATAGATAGATAGATAGATAGAGAGATAAAGGGGGAAAAAGAGAAAAGCGGAGAGAGAAAAAGAGAGTGAAAGAAAGAGAAAAGAGAGAGGCAAGGAAAGAGAAAGGGGAAGAGAGAAAAGAGAAATATATATATATATATATATATATATATATATATATATATATCGAGATAGATAGATAGATTGAGCAGGGTCCTAACAAGGATAGATAGAGAGAAAAAGAAAGAAAGAGAAATAAAGAGGCAAGGAAAGAGAAAGAAAGAGGCAAGGAAAGAGAAAAGGGGGAGAGTGAGAAAGAGAAAGGGAGAGAGACAAAGGGATATATATCTATACATAAAGAGAGAGAGAGAGAGATAGATAGAGCGATCGATCGAGCAGGGCCCTAACAAGGATAGATAGATAGAAAGTGAGAAAGAGATATAGAGAGAGGGAAAGAAAAGGAGAGATGCAGGCATATTCATCCAGATCAAGTGATAATATTTTTGAACGCTGTGCCATCAGATCCTGTTTCGATCCTGATGATATGAGTTTCAAAATTTTTTGCTAGATGAGTAATATTTCTGCTGCAGATTGGTGCTATACAATCTTAATTGGCTAGTATTGATAAGCGTATTCATTTATCTGCAGATATTGAAATGTGTATGTTAGATATAATATGTTTAGAACAAACATCGTGACAGCAGCGAAAGTCAGAGAATAAGCTTCTTTACATCTGTTGATTTTTTTTTTTTGCTTTTCCAGACCTGATGTCAATCGAAACAACTCCCAGATGTTATTTCAGAAACTCTCATTTAAGCTTATTGAACGATCTTTAACCTTATTTCGAGTGAAAAACAGCATTGCTACTCATCTAAACTAACCCAGTTGCAACAGAAAAATATATTAAAAAAATATTTCTCTATATTATCATCAACAAATAATATGTAAAACTTTATTTCGAAGAGATTCATTTAAAACTTGCTAACTTTTGCACATTATTTCTTCATAGTAAGTTGAAATCATTTATTTATAATATTTCGTGCTTTTTTCTTAGCAGGAGTAACAGACCAAGATGCGAACTACGCGATAGAATATATCCTGTCTCAATAGGAAATCAGTCAGAGCTGACAATGTAAATCTGGCTTCAGCCATTGAAAAGGACCTCCAATCAGTAGTTAACTGGGGTAGAAAATGGCTTCTAAATTTTAACGCCTACAAAACAAATCTGCTCTTATTCAAACGTCATAGAAAACTTTTCTGCCATCAGCATGGCTGACGCAAGACTCATGGAGAGCAATACACTGCACTTTCTTGGCCTCACGTTTACAAGTGGAACGACTATATCGAAACAATAGCCGCATCTGCTGCAAGGAAAGTTTGGTCACTGCGTCGTGCCAGGAGATTTTTTTTAGTCAGAGTCCATCTTGCACATTTACAAATCTACCATTAATTACTCTTGCTCTACCTGGTGTGGCTCTCCTGCTATTCATCCCGAAGCTCTTGACAAAATCCAAGGTGGGTTCTTTATTGTAATTAGTCCTGAATTGGCATCACGACTTCAGTCACTTTCTCACCGACGCGACGTGGCTTTCCTCCTTCTTTTCTACAAATATTTTCATCGCAACTGCTCTGACGAGGTTTTGCCCTGGTGATCCGACTACATGAATATAAGGAGACTTATCATTAACACCAGAAAGAGAGAGCTGAAATTTCTAGGTCACTCAATAAGGAAAGAGGGTTTGGAAATTTGATACTCAGAGGACAGATTGAAAGAAAGAGAGACCAAAGAAAACAACACATAATCCAAGCGTGCATGTGCAAATGAATGGCAGCTCCGGGATTAGGAGATATAACAGAAGGACCTAATTTATTAAGAACTACAAAGGGCATGAAATTGTGAAGAGTCCTGATCGCCAACGTCCTGAAACGACACTGCACAAACGTATGTACATTATGTTTTTGTTCAAGAAAATTCATTTTTCGTCTCTATTCATTGTTTTAAATAGGCCAACAAAGATATATTTTTGGTCGAGAAAAACTAGTGCATTGATTGGTTCTAAATTGCTAGTTGGGTGAAACACTTCTAGGCAGCGCGAGCTAATCTATTTTTTAGAGCTGACAAAGTAAACCTTGCTCCAATCAGTGGTTAAATAGCTTGTAAATTTGAACGCTTCCAAAACACAATTCATTTCCTTTAACCATCATAGAGAACATTGTCTACCATCGGTATGGCTGAGCCTTATCTACTGGAGATCAATACATTGCGCCTTCCTGGCCTCACATATTCAACTGGCTTGAAGTGGAGCGACTACATCGAATCAATAGCTGCATCTATTGCAAGGACTGTAGTGCCAGAAACCTTTCTACAATCAGTGGTTAACTGGACAGGAAATAGGTTGTAAATTTGAACGCCTCCAAAATAAAACTAATTTCATTTAACCACCATAGAGAACCTTTTCTGTCTGCCATCAGCATGGCTGTTCTCGACTCCCGGAGAACAATACACTGAACCTTCTTGGCCTCACATTTTCAACTGGCTTAAAGTGAAGCGACTGTATCGAATCAACAGATGCATCTTCTTTCGTTCCAGGAAATTTTTCTCGTCAGAATTCATCTTTCACATTTACAAATCTAACATTCGTCCATGCATTGAATACTGCTGCCATATATAGTAAGGTGCTCCTGGTATTCAGCTACTAGATTGGCACTTAGGTCCCACCCGTTTGCTGTTGAAATAGCTAAATGCAGCCGCCACTTCTACTCCAAAAGTTTCTTTTCTCGCATTTCCAGCCTGTGGAAGTCCCATCCATTTACTTGCTTCCCTGATAACTACAATCTTTAAAAATTTAAATGTAACGTCAATTACAACTTTCTATCTTCTTGAAGCCCGTTCATCTTATATCCTCTTCTCAAGCCTCCCTATACTCAGTCTTTTCTCTCATATTCCCTTCCTGTGGTCCCCTGAGTATTAGTGGCATTTCTGCCTCGCTTGGGTTTAAATGATTACAAGAAATATATGCATATCTAACGAATATCATTTAAAATAAGCAGATGCCACTGTGTTGATTATAGACACGGAAAGAAAACTCCAGGGACGTGGAGAAGTTTAAAAGAAAATAGGAAGAGCGTACTAACTATAAATAGTATGAAGATAATGTTTGAATGTTGTCAAGAGTGACAAATCAAGATGCGTTCTACTATTTGGAGACGTCAAATTCGAAGAAATACGGAACATTAAATGTCAGTGAAGTCTTTAAACAAACAACGGAATATGTGGCACCAAAATCCGAAGGCAGATCGACATAATGAAAGATGCATAGTAATGAATGCTAGAGAATTACTTCACAGATGAAAAGGAGAATTAAGACAATGGATAAAACACAAACACAAATAAAAGATGTTTGGTTACTTGGTTATAGTGTAAAATTGGTTTCTTTCCAGCACCTACACACACACACACAAACACACACACACATATATATATATATATATATATTTATGTGTGTGTGTATGTAGTTTAGTAACCGTTGTTTTCTGGGCAAGATAACCTGACGGAGTTCAATCGTCTTGAAGCAGAATTTTGAATTGCCTTGTTCCTTTTCTTAGACCGGTTGCCAACCAAGGCGATAGTCTGCCCTTCTATTTACTCTTAGCTGGTGAGGAGAAGAGCTGTATTTATACCTTTTTAAAGGGTATTAGTACCTAAATGACTATAATCGACTCGACTGGAATTCGAAGACGGCTCTATTACTCAACCGTGGTACATACATATATATATATATATATATATATATATATATATATATATATATATATGAGCATATATGGATATGCCTATATATATATATATATATATATATATATATATATATATATATATGTGTATCGGAAAGCCGAGTTCGAATTCTTGTGTGTATTTGGTAAGCTGTCACATCAGTGGACAGGCTCTAATCATGTCACAAAACATTCCACGCACTAAAAAACACCATTACAAGGCTTTGAATTTCTCTATTTTCCTGAAAAGCCTCTTGTCTAGCGTTGACTTGAGACCACATATGATGCGAAATTGATATATAAGTAAAACATTCTCATGACCATTCTCTTGAATAAACAATCTGTTTTTAGGAAAATAATTTCTCCACAAACGGCCATTATTCCATGTAACCCGTTCTCATCGTCATTTGTTGTTCAGTAGAATTCTTCATCTGAACTCGGACTGAACTGTTCTTCCTCCGTTGTCAACAACCGATCTTGTAATTTTATATTTTGTATTGAATAAATACTAACTATTCTCGTCGTTATAGATTATTACAGCGCCATTTCCGCTATCGGGATTTCGCAGCTTCTAATCCTGTCGTGTTTTTATCACAATGTCACAATTATTCTTTTTTTTCACGACTACATTAACCGCAAAATTAGCTAATAACTTTATCTAACATTTTAAATGCAGTGGGAAAATTGTGTCTGAAAGACAATTTCCCTTGTGAAAATCTGAATAATTGTGAGTCGTTGACCGGAGAGTAAGGGTTGGAGGTCTATGTCTTCTCTTAATATGAAAATATTTATTTTTCTGTTCGATAATCAACAGTAATAGAGTTAGATAGTCTTATTTATCGCTTTGTCAACTTTTCGAAGCTGAACTGTAAAATAAGTAGATAAATAAAAATAATTTGGCGGTGAGTATTTTACAGAAATTAAGATGGCGTTTCATTTATATCAATAGAAATGAACAAAAATTGTACCGAATAGCGTCATGATATTTAAAAAAACAAACAAACAAGTCGTTCCAATAAAAAGTTCCCATAATATTAATATTAGACGTTTCCTCATAAGGAAACAGTTGGCATTCATTGACCGAACAGCCAGTACTACTGTCGATTGAAATTTATAAATTTTTTCTCTTAAATCAATTTTTTCAGAAAAATGGGTTTCTCAAGCTCATTAGCTGTTCCAATATTGATGAAGTTTCCTTCCTAACTGTTTATTCGAAGTATTATAGAATGATACCATATTCGGTTTGTTGTTATTCTTCGAGTTACATGAGCTATCTATTTTAGGTGTTGTTGCTGTTGAAATTCTTTAAGTAACGTAGTTTCTGTTATTTGGTACAGTTCTTGGTTTGTGATTATGTAGGGTCAGTCTACAGTGTTCGAATAAAGATGGTCTTCGTCAAAACCATCCTTCTTCGAGTAGGCTTCACTCGCTCAAAGCAATTTTAACCATTGACCTTGGAAAACGGTTGTATACAGCTGACAGTCGACATATTTCTGAACGGATTTGGCGCCATGCATTGTATCTATATGAAAGTCTTGATCTGATGAGGTTATTTAAAAACATGATTCGAGTTTTCAGGTTAATGTTTTAGTTGTGTAGCAACTGGCGGTTGTGGTAGAAACTAACCCTCACGCAGCCTATTCTATGTTCAATGTCTTTATCTCATATACTAAATTTGTTATAACCGATCCATACAGCGAGGTATTTG